TATATTCTATAACATGAACGAACCTTATCCTAAATCAAAGAAGCCTGACACAAAAGACATATATTGTATGACTATATGAGATTTAAAAACCATTTGTATAGTTTATCTTGGTGTATATCTATGGTGTGTCAATTATATCTCACTAAAGCTATGTAAAAATCTATTTGGGGACAGGTGCGGTGGCTCACATCTGTAATCCCAGCATTTGGGGAAGCTGAGAAGGGAGGATCACTTGAGGTATGGAGGTTGAGACTAGCCTGGCCTAGTGAGAGCCTGTCTCTACACAAAAGGTGTTTTAAAAAATTAGCCAGGCGTGGTGTGGTGTACATGCCTGTAGTACTAGCTACTTAGGAGGCTGAAAAAGGACAACTTGGCCCAGGAACTGGAGGCTGCAGTGAGCTATGAGTGTCCTATTACACTCCAGCCTGGGAAACAGTGAGACCCTGGCTCAAAAAAAAAAAAAGCCACATATAAATTGTCTGAAAATGTGGGATTTTTCAGACATTAAATTTTAATGCATTAATATACATAGTTACCATTCAATAAAAAAGAAAAAATATATATAAACCATAAATTTTAAGATTAGAACATCAGGAAAACATGAACAGCAAGCTGTAATCTAATCAGTAATACTGTGATCTGGAAGATGAACAAGTTAAGTGAAGGGAATTGGTCTATATGGAAATAAGGAAAGGGTGACCCAAAGAGCAAGATTTACCCTGTGTCTCCAACACTATCCAAGGCAGGGAGAGTGTCATGTATCTCAGAAGAGGTGAATTAATTAAATCATCACATATTAATGATGTTCACTATAAGATCATTTTACAAACAATACTTGCTCTGATTTCAAGCATTCCAAGCCACTTTCTGACTGCAAACCCTGCACAGACTGTTCTATTGGAAATGTGATGACCAGCTGATTCTGGTACAAAGTCCCCTAGAAATTAATTCCCTGATTTAGATTCATCACTCAGGAGACTGACTAATATGAATCCTCATGAGACTAACTCTTGTTGCTCTTAGCAAATTATTTCTTACAAAGTTCAGGACCAGTAACTCTTAACCAAAGGGATGTTCCTATAGCAGAATTCCTAAGAGTCTAACATGCACCTGGGGCACGGTTTTCCCAGCCTTTCCCCTCTCTACTGCCAATCAGAGTGTGCCACTGTCCCTGAGAGTGTGCCCTGTATCCTTTGGGAAGGATGGTATGCTCTGGACTGTGAGGCTCCCACCCAGATATTGATTGCCTGTGAGGCCTAAGGTTGTGACACAGCCTGGCCTTCCTCAATATACCTCTACCTCTGCTCTCCCTAACTTAAGATACTCTGAGATCCTTCCCAACATGCCATTATTTTATCCAGTCTAACCTCATTCTATAGATAAAAATGAAATAACTGAGGCCAACTGAGTTTAAGGACCTTCCCTAAAATAACACAGCTAATTAGTGGCAGAGATAGAACCGGAACCAAAGCCTTCTGATCCCCTGCCCAATGTCTATGCATTATGGGATGCTGCCTTTCACTTCTGGATATCCTTTACTCCTGCTGAGCAGCGTCCTTTTTTGTGCATGGAAGCATTTCTGGGCTCCAAAAGTGTTCTCATACACTATTTAACACCAAAATTTATACATCATGCCCAAAGAGATTTTCTTTTGAATTTTTTAAAATTTCTATAAATTTTATATCTTTATAAAGATATCTTTTATATCTTTATAAATTTTATATCGTTATATCTTTTATATATACACATCTTTATAAATTTTATATCTTTATATCCTCTCTCTGGAGGATACATTAGAAGTCCATGACAGCCTCTGGTAAAGAACTGAGCCAAGCAGAGGGACAGTGACTTTCTAGCAAATGTTTTTTCTGTATTATTTGAATTCTTTTTTTTTTTTTT